TATATATATATATATATATATAATTTTTATTTATTCATCCATATTTTATCCTTTTATTAGAGTTTTAAACAAAAAATCGGATCAGTGACTAGCCGATTGAAGGTTAGTCTGGGTTCTGCCTTGAAAAAGGATATGCACCAAAAGGCCAGACAAGTAATCGTCGTTCTTAAATTTTAATTTAAATAATTAAATAAAGTATTTAATATTCAAAATAAAATATTTAAACTGATTTAAATAAATATAAAGATTATGATTAAATATTTATTTGAATACATTCTCACATGACTTCCATTATTCCCATATTCCGAGTTTTATAATAGTAAAAACAAAAAGTTATATAAGACTATAGCAAATTCATCATCACCAACTTAATGTGCGACTAAATTATATAAAGCAAAAAGGTATATTTGGCTTCATGATACACTTTTTTGTAAAAAAGGCAAAACATCTTTTTTAACAATTTTTTCAATTAATTGTTATAATATGAATAATATTTATTTTCTTAGTTGATAAGATTTAATATTTTAATTTTTATCCATTTATCCTTTTTAGATATTTTATTATATATTATAAAAATTAATTTTATAATATGGAATAATATTTATTTGTTTTTTCTTGGGAAATTTAACGTGTTATTAGTTAATAATATTTTAGGTTTTCTATCTATTGTGAAAATTTTAATATATTCTAATTATTTATATTATAAACAAAAAATTTTTATTGTGAGTTTTGTTTATATATATATTATAAATTATGTATAGTAAATTTGCTATATTTATATTAAAATTATATGACTATTATAGTTCATTATTATGTATTTTTAAAAATTTATTATTATGATTATTTATTATTTATTACATCATGCGGTGAATTTTGATTCTATTCAACCGGTCGAACCGTAAATCTTCTCATTCTTCTAGTTCATTGCTTGGTACTGATTTTTCACAACCTTGCTTTTATGAAGGGTTTGACCAAAAATTAACTTTTCCTTTTTTTATTCAAGATTTCCACGGGTTTATTAGTTTTATTGAATTCTATATTTTTCACAGCTTCATATACAAGTTTAGTTTATATTTTTTAGGATTTTTGTTTTAATCATGTATGATTTTTGAATAAAAATTAGCCCCCAATTAATGAATTAATAGTTGGGTTTAGGCTAGTTTTTGGATTTTTGAACTAAATTCAACTCCGAATAAAATTGAAATCATCACCGGAGCTGGACCTCAAGGGCCGATGTCTGGAAAGAGTTTAAAGTCATTTGTATATTATTAGTATTTTAATTTATTTTTATTTATTTATTTTATGATTTGTCTTAGTGAGGATCAATTAATTTTTTTTCTTTCTCACCTATAGAACTAAAGCACCTCTTAGTGCATATTGTCACTATAAGCACAAACATAAATTTATTTAATTTGCTAAATTCTTTCGTAATCTTAATTTAATGATCACTCAAAATAAAGATTGAATGTTTAATGAGATCCTTGGCTAAAGTAAGGTTTACAATCCCTATTTAGGATTAAAATGAGATCAATAATAGCTCAAAAATATTTTTTAAAATTCTAACCTTAAACCTAACACCATAAAAATAATTATTTCCATAAACATTTAGCAATCCAAATGATTTAAAATATTGAACTATTTTATATATCCTAAAATAGGATATGATATTGTAAGATTATAATGCCTACTTCAATACTTTAAAGCCTATTATTTATTATGTTCCCTAGTTAATAAATATTAATGACTTGATAAGAGTTTTAAAAAAGCATAAAAATAAAAAAATTTAGTAGCAATATAATTTAGATTTTTTATATTCTTTCTTACATCAAGTAGTCAATACTAATATGAATCATATTGCATTTAATAATTATGTCAATCGATAATTAGTATTCATATGCAATTGCGTTGTAATAATCAGACACGGTTCAACAGGTCCAATCATGAGTGGGTCTGTAAGATCGATCTGTTCATTATAAAACCATTTATATCAAACCAAGTTGAACAAGGTCAGAAACCCGCTTATTTCACCGGCGAACCCCTCTCGCTTACCTTGGAATCGACAAGTTCAATTTCTAAATTATTTAAATAATTATAATAGAATACATTTTAATCTATTAATAATAAAATATTAAGTAATATTATAATGGTTGAGATAATTTAATTTAAATTTAATATGCTTTAATTTTTAAAGAAATATTTCAACTAGTACAGTGATTCCATCACTCCATTATAAGTTCTTGCTTTCATCTAAAACTCAAAAAAGAACAATAAACGGAATTTTCAGGAGTGGACTAAATAAGTTTATAAGTTCTAATTATTAAGTTTACAACATATATTATAATATTTTAAAAATAAACTTTTTAAATAAATTTTCTATGATATAAATAGATTGTGATTTTTAATTAATAACATTAAATAAATTATGATAATTCATTTAGTTATTTATTATACTATAAAAATTAATTAATTATTTATCAATTAATAATAAGTGAATTAACATTAAATTTTATAATATGAAATTTACTATAATTTATAATTTATAAATTATTTTCTAACATCTAACATAAATTATTATAAGTTGTATATGTAGCTTTTGTGTTTTGTAAATTTGAATTAAATTTAAAATTGAAATATGTTTTAAATTTAAAAATTACATAGATATTATTAAATGTGTGAATTCATTTATTTTTAATCAAAACTTATATGATGTGACATAATTATTTTGTCGATTGTAAAAATTATTTAAATAATTTTCATACTTTTTTATGTCATCTGGTTCCCTTCTTAGACTTCCGATCGACACATTTAAACAATAATCCTCTCCTTTTTCCATTCTATGAACAATTCGTATTTCACAACCTTGATCATATGTAACATAGATAATCATCTATACGTGACAATAATTGTACATATACTCCATTATATTAATTTTGTTAATCATGTCTTGAAGAATGTAGTGATTAATGTAAGTTTTCACCGTTTGTGATAAATTAGTATGATGTATATATACAAATCATATACAAATCATCACATACATTACAAAATCCTATGATAGTATGGTTAACATTTATGATCATATTTATAGAATAGTATAGAAGTTTTAAAACTTGTGTCAACTAAGAAGTTCTATAACATCCATAAAAATTTGCAAGCTTCAGCTACTTGATGTCAGCTCCCTAAATTATAAATATATTACGAACTATTAAATCTACTTATAGATTGCCCCTAGTGATTGAGAAAATCTATGTAGAAGACATAGGTTAGATATATGTGCTTGAAGTTTTTGATGATTATTAGTTGTTAGTTATCAATCCATTATTTGAGAAATACTTGAGATCATATCTAGCAAATTATTTTTAGGACTAAAGTTTTGTTGGGACGGCTTTCTTACGCTGCTTTAAGAAGCAGTAAAATCTTTGTACTAGAAACTGCTTTAAGAAGCAAATAAGAAAGCCGTCCACAATAAGCCTAAAATCTAAGATCATTTTTTACCTAATGTTGATCATAATGCTAAAACTCCATCTATCACCTTTTATTAATTAAAAAGTGCATTGAGATGAAAAAATAATTAGCTTATGGGATAAAATTTTTATAAGTTAATACAAGTTCTCACCCAATTTATAGGTATCTACCAATTTCCTTTCATAATTAATGGATAAAATAAGTTGTATGCAACATTGTGACATTAGAAACTAAAAACTTTTTCAAAAATCCTTCATGTTGT